CCCTATAATTACGATTCCTATAAAACTACGAAAAAATATACGTATTTTGGAAATGTTGAGTCGGATTAGTGTAGAATCGATTAATTTTATGGAAGAAAACCTTTCAATCAGCCGTAGTCCGTAAACTTGACACGTGTCGGGCTGTGATTGGAACGACTTGTAAGAAATCGGATTCCTAATAAATTGAACCGTATCTATATCTTATAGGGGGGTCGACTGTAAGCATCTATTTGTAGTTTAACTGTTTCAATTCGTAATTCGTTCCTAGGAATAGGTGTCGATTGCGTCTTTTGACTCTGAGACTTTATTCTATATTTTAACTTTTTAAAATGTTTTAGAACTTTACTTACATTTTTAAATTCAATTTTAACTAAATATCGATCCCATTAAATTTTAATTATAAATTTTAAATCATTCGTTTTAATTCCTCTTCAATTATACGTTACTTTTATAAAGTATTGTTTTAATTATTTGCTGTTTAGAACAGAACTTTTATCACAGAAATGTAAAAGATTATAAAAATAATAATAATGATAACTTGCATTTTATCAGAATTAATTTTATTGATAAACACGTACAATTTTGAATTTAGAAAATGTTTGTATCACATTTATAATAAAATTTATGGAGCAGAGCTAATTATATCGAATGCTTTTAGCTTTGTAAATTTTGCGAAAAACAAGCCAATTTTAATAATTATAATTAATTTTGAAAGTTTTCCAATCTCAATCTCAATCTGAAATTTTTAATTTTCCAATTGACGATTTTTTTCTGCACTTGCTGGAGAAAATTCCTGATGACCTGCTTGATCTTGCTTTTCTTCTGCTTCATTGTTTTCTTTGTTTTTAGGGCCTTGACCTTTTATATCTTCCTCATCTTTACTTTCTTTAAAAATTTTGAGACATTCTTTTTTAGTTTCATTTTCCGATTTTAATTTTTCAGATTTTTCGGGATATATTCGTAATTTTTCAAATAGTGAAAACATTTCCTGTAGAAACAAATTTTATACATAAATTAAATATATTTTACAGTTAAAAGTATTTTTTGACGGTAAACATGAAAATTCTATAAAAGTTGATTGATGTAAAAAGGAAATGAAACATATGGTTGATCTACAAAGAGAAAAGGTTAACTGTTGAACACAGAAGGAATTCAGAAAATGACACTGTGGTTTGAGAACGTTTTAATATTCAGAGAAATCGAGAGTGATGATATAAAGAAACGCAACACTCAGTAATAATTAGAAATATGAATATAGTTATTCAGTATTGAAAAAAGAGTAAAATGAATATTTTAATACGTACGCAAGAAGTGCAATCAGAGAGAATAATGTTCTGATCTACTTTAAAAAGTTCTCCGCATGTTGTCCCGTACTTTTCGTATTTAAATGATCCATTTGAACCAGCATTACTACCTCGGTGTGTATGCCATGTCTTAATGTGATCTGCTAACTCTGATTCCGTTTTAAACGACCTACCGCAATATCGGCATTTGTAACGCAAATCATTCAACACGTTTATCAAATACTCTTCGTTNTTTTCAATCTCAATCCGAAACTATAATCTTCAATTTTCCAATTAAAAATTTTTTTCTTCACTTGCAGGGGAAAATTCCTGATGACCTCCCTGACCTTGCTTTTGTTCTGCTTCATTGCTTTCTTTGTTTTCAGGGCCTTGACCTTTTATATTTTCCTCACCTTTACTTTTTTTCAAAAATTTGAAGCATTCTTCATAAGTTTTCTTTACTGAATTTAATTCTTCAAATTTTTCAAGAATTGTTCGTAATTGTTCAAATATTAAAAACATTTCCTGTAAAAACAAATTTTATACACAAATGAAATATATTTTACAGTTACAGATATTATTTGACGGTAAACACGATAATTCTATGAAAGTAGATTGATGTAAAAAGGAAATGTAACATATAAATAATCCACGATTCATGCATTTAAGGAGAAAATGTTAAGTGTTAGACACAGAAAAAAACCCAGAAAATTGACACTATGGTTCGAGAACCTTTTAATATTCAGAGAAATCGAGAGTGATAATAGTAATGTAAAGAAACGCAACACTCATTAATAATTAGAAATATAAATATAGTTTTTCAATATTGAAGGAAGAATAAAATAAATATTTTAATACGTACGCAGGAAGTGGAATCAGAAAGAGGAATGTTCTGATCTACGTTAAAAGGTTCTCCGCATGTTGTCCCGTGCTTATTGTATTTAAACGATCCACCTGAACTATCACCATTAGGCATGGGTGTATGCCATTGCTTAATGTGATCTTCTAAATCTGATTCCGTTTTAAATGTCATGCCGCAATATCGGCATTTGTAAACCACATCAAGAAACACTTTCATCAAATACTCTTCGTACTTAAATGTTTCACCGGAACCAGCACAATTACCATGGCCTGTATGCCATTCCTTAATGTGTTCTTCTAAATCTGATTCCGTTTCAAACAACATGCCGCAATATCGGCATTTGTAACGCACATCATCATACACGTTCATCAAAAACTCTTCATACTTAAATGTTTCATTTGAACCAGCACCGTTATTTCGGGGTGTATGTTCTTTATTAATGTGCTGTTGTAACGCTGATTGCGTATTAAACTTCTCGCCGCACCATTCGCATCTGTAAGAATCATCCCTCAAATTTCTTAACTCAAAAACATGCATTTTGTTTTATGAAATTGGATCCACAAGGTCAAACTTAACTCTGATATTAATTATTATTTTGTAAACCTTCAGAAACTCTTTCTCACGTCTAGATGGATCGTTTGCGAATTTGCGACTGAATTGTTGACCTCAACAATTGAACAATTGATATATTGTTTTTCTGTTAAAATTTTGAATTGAATTGTTACCTGACTATTGTATTTAACCCTGCGTAAAGCGCGCCAAAGATTCACGCACAGTTGTGCGCGCGGGGTGCTATATAACCCTCGTGTTCAAAATTCAATTTTTCAAAACTCATAGTTTTTTTCGCGATTTTTTCATTTTGGATGTTTGTGGGCATGTGTTTTTGATGTATTAGTGAAAAAAACTACTTCAAATATATCGTTTTTATTTATTCGTAACGAAAAACAGAAAGTATCCCGTTTTTAAAAATTTTTCAAAAAAAATTGGTCGACTTCAAGAGCGTATTTTACAAACTGTAAACAAGTCTGATGCTATCTAAGCTGTCAATCGTCTTCCTGCATGTGTTTTTTAACTACCACAACAATAAATTCTTTGTCCGAAACCCCGGGCCAAAAATATCTATGAATTTCCAAAAATACACCATCTAAAATCATACAGCAACTAGGAGGAAAAGTGGAGATTATTTGCAGATAACATCGATAGTAAACTTCTTTTGCACTGTAATTGGTTAATTTATATGTCTGTTATTAGATCGACCTATAAAAACAATTGCTAGAAATATTCCCGCGAAATGCCACGCCCCCGAAGGCCACCACACGGAAGTATGTAAACAATCGCTACAAAATCGCGTGTTTTAATCTTTTTTTCCACTTCTAATTTGCTAATAATAAGTCGCTTGAAATTATTTAGACGAATAAACATGTTTTCAACACCATTTAGCAATAAATATCGCCAAAAAACGCCACCTTTCAAACTGACAATGTTAAGTCTATGGGAAACTTTTTTGCCGTTTATTGGCTTTAAAAATTTTGTTTTTACGCCTTTTATGCTCTAATTGGTCATTTCTATCATGACTGACTCTATATCAACCAATAAGCTTTCCCTCAAAACACGAAGTCAGATCGACCCACCTCCGTTAGTCGCGCGAAAAAAAATTACACCGTTAGGCGCGCGGGGTACTATAGCACCCGACTGATTTCCATTATAAGTCTATGCAAAAAATTATTTTCGTGCAAAATTGAAATTTTTTCGGTGCAATCTTTACACTATGGAAGGAAGGTACTGAGGGCATCATTTTTAAACACAAAAAATTTTAAAAAATACACGCGTTTAAACACGCCGGGGGTTCTATATAACCCCGCGCGCGTAACCGAGGGTTAAAGTATTTTTCTTACTTATCTTTTATATGATATTTTGTAAGTTTTGGTACTTTTTATATTTAGCAAAAATCCATGACACTTGATATATTTAGTGTTGTAAAACATAAAGGGATAAACATAGACATATGAATATAAATACATTCATTTTTAATTTTTCGGCTGTTACATATAACAGTCGGAAAATGTGGCGTTTTTACGACCGAATTTTGTTCACTCTCTTTGAATCTTAATAACTTCTGTCATTTTCGTTCAAAATATATGAAATTTTACAAGAATATTTGCTTATTAGAGTTATTGATGCTGTTAAATTTTAAAAATTGAATATCTAGGGTGTGGGGAAATAACGAAGGTCGTCTGTATCCGCATTTAGGTCAGACTTAATGTCTATTTTACTTGTTACTAGCATTTACGATTTTTTTATAAAACATATTCCTATTTTTAAAATTAAACTTTTATCATTTTCAAATATTTAAAAATATAAGGCTTTTAAAGTAAGATATTAACATATGACTCCACCAACTGTTAACGGGAAAGTTACTGGATTTCTAAACTACTTGACAACATAATATATCTTTCAAAACAAGAAAAATTAAAACCGTCTATTGTGACTCATCATATAAAACCGTGCGCTTTGGTGTATTGTGTGCAGCTTCGGAAAAAAAAAATATTGTAATTTTTATAACATAAACCGTTCTGTAGTATATTTTACATTGTTTGAATGTAATTTGTCTGAATTGCTTGTATTTCACTAGTAACAATTGCAGAATAGACCCGCTTCTTCACTTTCTACGACAGCACATAAATTGTACGCCCATTTAAAGCAGTTTTGTTAAACGATCCACCCTTTAATAGATCCTGCTCCGAATACAGACAAGAATAGAAAGAGCACAATATCTCGTTGAAAAGAGGGGAAAACTTTCTTTCAGATCGTGGTGACAANTGCGACTGAATTGTTGACCTCAACAATTGAACAATTGATATATTGTTTTTCTGTTAAAATTTTGAATTGAATTGTTACCTGACTATTGTATTTAAAGTATTTTTCTTACTTATCTTTTATATGATATTTTGTAAGTTTTGGTACTTTTTATATTTAGCAAAAATCCATGACACTTGATATATTTAGTGTTGTAAAACATAAAGGGATAAACATAGACATATGAATATAAATACATTCATTTTTAATTTTTCGGCTGTTACATATAACAGTCGGAAAATGTGGCGTTTTTACGACCGAATTTTGTTCACTCTCTTTGAATCTTAATAACTTCTGTCATTTTCGTTCAAAATATATGAAATTTTACAAGAATATTTGCTTATTAGAGTTATTGATGCTGTTAAATTTTAAAAATTGAATATCTAGGGTGTGGGGAAATAACGAAGGTCGTGTGTATCCGCATTTAGGTCAGACTTAATGTCTATTTTACTTGTTACTAGCATTTACGATTTTTTTATAAAACATATTCCTATTTTTAAAATTAAACTTTTATCATTTTCAAATATTTAAAAATATAAGGCTTTTAAAGTAAGATATTAACATATGACTCCACCAACTGTTAACGGGAAAGTTACTGGATTTCTAAACTACTTGACAACATAATATATCTTTCAAAACAAGAAAAATTAAAACCGTCTATTGTGACTCATCATATAAAACCGTGCGCTTTGGTGTATTGTGTGCAGCTTCGGAAAAAAAAAAATATTGTAATTTTTATAACATAAACCGTTCTGTAATTTGTCTGAATTGCTTGTATTTCACTAGTAACAATTGCAGAAATTCAAGCAATTGTTGAAATACAATTGCTGAAATACAAGCAATTCAGACAAATGTAATTTGTCTGAATTGCTTGTATTTCACTAGTAACAATTGCAGAATAGACCCGCTTCGTCACTTTCTACGACAGCACATAAATTGTACGCCCATTTAAAGCAGTTTTGTTAAACGATCCACCCTTTAATAGATCCTGCTCCGAATACAGACAAGAATAGAAAGAGCACAATATCTCGTTGAAAAGAGGGGAAAACTTTCTTTCAGATCGTGGTGACAAATTACAATAATATTGACAATATAGACATGAGCAACGAAGGCCTCATATGAATTTTTCTCTGTCTACATCACTTACTTACCGAAACGATTTTTGTTCTGCTGTGCGTTCCATTACAGTATGTTCTGGTTTTTCTCTGATTCAAATTAAAGATTAAAACTTTATAATGTTTTTTATATGGTGAGCCATCTCTTACAGCATTTCCTTTAAAAAAATTTTCCATCTGTTTTGTTTCATCACTCTTTTATTAGATAGATTTGTCTGTACACTCGTCAAACAGACAATTTTCAATATAGTGTGTGATCGGTTAACGAACATAATCCGTTCCATGACTTTGTTCGCTATCCGAATTGTTCGTTAATTAAACGATAATTTTTATATCACATGTTTTTATGGAAATTTGACCGTTAAGCTAGAGAAAACTTGGGCTAAGTCTATAGCGTTACATAAAACTCGGTCGTTTCGGCCTCCAATTTTTTTTTTAATGTATGAATGTTTTTGTCTCCAAATTTTTTCCAAAATTTTTTCCCGCGCGAAAAAATTTTATTGCGATTTTAACCTACCTTTAATGACGCACGATTAACGTTTAATTGTTTTTATGGAATTTTTTTATCGAATTTTATTTATCGTTCTAAAGTTCTAGTGCACAAATTTTACTTCAGTAAAGTTATTTAAAGCTAGTTTCTGATGTCAAAAACGACGTTTAATAGTTTTTTAAGTTTTTTAATTAATAGATTTTATTATATATACGTTTAATTAAGTCGGGGGGTCGGAAATTGCAATAAAAACGTAATTTTCTAAAGATATTTAAAAATATACGGCCAGCTAGTATTCACTCTACTATAGACCCTTTTCCTCCTGTAGGTTTTATGAGAATGTCCCAGGAAATACAACACCAGCTGTTCTCAAGGTCATCCAGCTGTTAACACAATTACTCGTTGGCGTCAGATTTCGCGGAAAGGCGAGACAATGGAAGTTTAACTTTGAAAATTTCTCTTCAAAATTGACACATTTATTTTGTTTTTTTTTTCAGTTTTAAGTATTTTTTATGTTTATTTAAATTTATANCGAGCGCTGCATAAAGAAACGCGGCCACAGTAACACGAGTGAGTTCGATGACGTCAATTAGAGTACAACACGAAAAACTCGAGACTAAGGGACCAGGGAGTGGGGAGATAACGAAGGTCGTGTGTATCTGCAGTTGGGTCAGACATAATGTCTATTTTACTTGTTACTAGCATTTACGATTTTTTTTATATCTATCTTCAGAATTAAACTTTTATCATTTTTAAATACTGTAGTTAAAAATATAACGTTTTTGACTTAAAATATTAATATATGACGCCACCAACTGTTTCTGGGAAAGTTAAGTAACGCGTTTCTGGATTTTTAAACTACTTGACAACATAATATGTCTTTGAATGCTGTTAAAATTATAACCGTTAATTGTGATTCATTATATAAAACCACGCGCTTTGGTCTATTGTGTACACCTCGGGAAGAAAAAATGATTGAAATTTTTATTAGATAAACCGTCGAACCCAACCACTTTTTAAAGCCTCACATCGAACCCCACCGTAAAGTTTTATGACAAGTGTATGTGTATGAGCAAATGAAAATAAAAAAAAAGTTGTGGTCTCTGTATAAGCAAAAAAAAAAAAAAAAGTTGCGAACCCTTAGCCGAATCGACCCCTCAATCGACCCCCTAATCGACCCCCCAATGATGTTGCATCGACCCCTGGGGGTCGATATCGACCACTTTGGCGACCCCTGGTTTAAATATAATTTGTCAGAATTACAGTGCTTGTATTTCACAAGGAACAATTGCAGAATAGACTTTCTTCGTCAGTACATAAATTGTACGCTCATTTGAAGCAGTTTTGCCAAACGATCCACCCTGCTCTGAATCAGACAGAAATAGAAAGAGCACAATATCTCGTTGGAAAGAGGGAAAAACTTTATTTCAGATCGTGGTGACAAATTACAATAATCTTGACAATATAGACATGAGCTACCGGGCCTCATATGAATTTTTGTCTGTTTACATCACTTACTTACCGAAACGAGTTCTGTTCTGCTGGGCGTTCCATTACAGTATGTTCTGGTTTCTCTCTGACTCAAATTAAAGATTAAAGGTTTATAATGTTCTTTATATGGTGAGCTTCTTCCAACATTTCCTCTTAAAAATTTTTCGATCTGTTTTGTTTCATCACTTTTTTATTAGATAAATTTGTCCGTACACTCGTCAAACAGACAATTTTGAATATAGTGTGTGATCGGTTAACGAACATAATCCGTTCCAAGACTTTGTTCGCTATTTGAATTGTTCGTTAATTAAACGATAATTTTCATATCACAGGTTTTTATGGAAATTTCAACGTTAAGTCTTTATCCCGAGATAACTGGGGCAAGTTCCATAGCGTTACATAAAACTCGGTTGTTTGGACCCTCCAATNTTCTAACAGGAAAAGTAACTTTCGTTATCATGGAATTATAACAAAACCTGCCAATTCAATATAAATGGAAAAAAATTATTATATGGAATTCAACGAAAATGAAAATTTGCTTGATAATTCAACTACGCTTGTTGGAGAACAATAAAAACACTACACTCAACAAGCCACCAATAAAGCTCAACTGCCAAACCTATAACCAAAGTCTCCTTTTAATTTGTTTATAAAAAAAAGAGCTTGACAAACATGCCCCGCATGCCGAAGTTGCCCCGGTCTCCCCTATATCTTGCCAGTTTCTTAGTATTTTTCATTCAATAGTTCTTGTCGTTCTTCTGTCTTCAAATCCGTTTCAGGTTCCATTATGAGCTATTCAATGTTATTTATTTGTCAGATGTAATTTTTGTTACTCCTTTAGCTGCTTGAGTCTTCTTGAATATACAGCGTGTTTCTTAGAGAAGATTGAACTGCGTTCTAGTGTAGATCTGTTGAAATCATACTGTTTAGCAACATGAGATATCTGCCCTCTCTCTATCTTTGATATTATACTTTTACCTTTAGTAAAAATATCAGATGCAAAACTTTAACTATTGTCTGCCTGACAGTCTCGCGAATACTATAAAGGAATTGTTTCTGTCAGAAAAATAAAAGGCTGGAATTAGAAGGGAGAAGTTCAAAGTTCGGCGGAATACTATTCTATTTGTACAGTGTTTTTTAACCTTATTCATTGAGTGACACCCCTGATTGAAAAATAAAAAATCGTGACACTCTTGACCAGCGGCGGATCTGAATAAGGGGGCTAATGGGCCAGATAAATTTTTTCCGAAAACGAATATTACGCGCAACTCTGGGGTGTGATCCGGGGAGGGAGTACCCTCCCCGGGAAGAAAACTTTTAAAAATTGAAAATTTGAAGTAGCATTTTAATGCAAAAAAAAACAGCGTTTCTACGTGTTTAAAATCAAAATTTAAGTCCACTGAATTTTGTCGAAATACCTACATGTNGTTCCAAGACTTTGTTCGCTATTTGAATTGTTCGTTAATTAAACGATAATTTTCATATCACAGGTTTTTATGGAAATTTCAACGTTAAGTCTTTAGCCCGAGATAACTGGGGCAAGTTCCATAGCGTTACATAAAACTCGGTTGTTTGGACCCTCCAAATTTTTTTTTTTTGAATTTATGTGTTTTTTAAGTTTTCAAATTTTTTCAAAAATTTTTTCCCGTGCGAAAAAATTTTATCGCGATTTTAATCTACGCACGAACACGCTTAATTATTTTTTAATGGGATTTTTTTTTATCGAATTTCATTCATCGTTCTAAAGTTCTAGTGCACGGGTTTTAGTTCTGTAAAGTTATTTAAAGCTAGTTTCTGATGTCAAAAACGACGTTTAATAGTTTTTTAAGTTTTTTAATTAATAAATTTTATTATATATACGTTTAAGTTCGGGGGGGCGGAAATTGCAATAAAAACGTAATTTTCTAAAGATATTTAAAAATATACGGCCAGCTAGTATTCACTCTACTATAGACCCTTTTCCTCCTGTAGGTTTTATGAGAATGTCCCAGGAAATACAACCCCAGCTGTTCTCAAGGTCATCCAGCTGTTAACACAATTACTCGTTGGCGTCAGATTTCGCGGAAAGGCGAGACAATGGAAGTTAAACTTTGAAAATTTCTCTTCAAAGTTAAGGCATTTTCTTTGTTTTTTTTCAGTTTTAAGTATTTTTTATGTATAATTATATTAATATTAAAAATTAAAAAAGTTCCAAGGAGTTAGTTCGTTTTGGAGACTCCAAAAATTACAAAAATATATACTTTCTTATTACGTTTATTTAAATGTAATGATAAAAATACATATATACACAGCCCTGCATTTTTATTAGTCACGTTTGTTCCGTTTGTAGTGGTTAAAAAATCTGTGTAATGTTGATTGTTTTTATTTCTTATTCAGGATTATACAGAAGTAATTAATAACATTGTAATTGTAGAGATCTCTAAGATTATTAATCTCAACCTGGTTTGGATTCCGTTCTAAGACCGTTGTTCTGACATCCTCCCACTTATTAAAGAGATCATTAGTTGCAAATATCGGCATTAATTCTTTTTTTCAGAAGAAAACATATCTCTCCAGTTTCTTAGTATTTTTCATTCAAGAGTTCTTGTCGTTCTTCTGTCTTCAAATTCGTTTTAAGTTCCATTGTGTGCTATTTAATGTTCTTTATTTGTGAGATGTAATTTTTGTTACTCCTTTAGCTGCTTANAGCACCATTAGTTATGGGTGTATGCCATTCCTTAATGTGATCTCTTAAATCTGATTCCGTTTTAAACTCCATTCCGCAATATCGGCATTTGTAAATCACATCATCAAACACGTTCATCAAATACTCTTCGTACTTAAATGTTTCATCGGAATCAGCAGCGTTACTTCGGCGTTTATGTTCTTTATTAATGTGCTGTTGTAACTCTGATTCCGTATTAAACGTCTTGCCGCACCATTCGCATCTGTAAGGCACATTTCTCAAATTTATCAAATTTCTAAACTCAAAAACGTGCATTTTGTTTTATGAAATTGAATCCACAAGGTCAAACTTAAATGTGATATAAATTATTATTCTCTAATCGTTTAGAAACTCTTTTCCACGTCTAGATGGATCGTTTGCGAATTTGCGACTGAATTGTTGACCTCAACAATTGAACGATTGATATATTGTTTTTCTGTGAAAATTAGAATTGAATTTTTACCTAATTATTGTATTTAAAGTATTTTTTATTTATCTTCTATATGATATTTTGTAAGTTTCGGTATATTTTATATTTAGGAAAAAACCACGACACTTGAAATATTTAATGTTGTAAAAAATGAAGAGATAAACTTAGACAATAAGTATAAATTAATTTATTTTCACTTTTTCGGCTAATATATATAACGGTGGAAAAATGCTGCGATTGGTCAAAGAATAATCCCCAAGATCATTATATTTTTTTTAATCAATGCACCTTGAAACTCCGAGAAATAGAAACAAATTATTGCGTTTCTTTGATACAATTTTGTTCACTCTGTTCGAATCTTAATAACTTCTGTCATTTTCGTTCAAAATATTGCCGAAAATTTTTAGAATTATACTAACAATTTTAATTCAATTTTATCTAAATACCGAATCTATTGAATTTTAATTAAAAATTTTAAGTCATTCATTTTAATTCCTCTTCAATTATAGGTTAATTTTATAAAATATTCTTTCAATTGTTTGCTGTTTACAACAGAACTTTTATTACAGAAATGTAGAAAATTATAAAAAAGAAATAATTTGCATTAAAATTGAAACGATTTTATTACAGTAATTTCATTGATAAACATGTACAATTTTGAATTTAGAAAATGTTTCTATCTCATTTAAAATTAATTAAATTTGAGCAGCTGAGATAATTTTGCGAGAAAAGGCCAAATATAATAATTATAATTAATTTTGAAGATTTTCCAATCTCAATCTCAATCTGAAATCTTCGATTTTTGAATTGAAAAATTTTTCTGCACTTGCAGGAGAAAATTCCTGATGACCTGCCGAATCTTGCTTTTGTTCTGCTTCATTGTTCTGTTTGTTTTCAGGACTTTGACCTTTTATATCTTCCTCACCTTTACTTTTTTTTAAAATTTTGAAGCATTCTTCATAAGTTTTCTTTACTGATTTTAATTCTATAGATTTTTCTAGATATCGTTGTAATTGTTCAAATATTAAAAACATTTCCTGTAGAAACAAATTTTATACATAAATTAAATATATTTTACAGTTAAAAGTATTTTTTGACGGTAAACATGAAAATTCTATAAAAGTTGATTGATGTAAAAAGGAAATGAAACATATGGTTGATCTACAAAGAGAAAAGGTTAACTGTTGAACACAGAAGGAATTCAGAAAATGACACTGTGGTTTGAGAACGTTTTAATATTCAGAGAAATCGAGAGTGATGATATAAAGAAACGCAACACTCAGTAATAATTAGAAATATGAATATAGTTATTCAGTATTGAAAAAAGAGTAAAATGAATATTTTAATACGTACGCAAGAAGTGCAATCAGAGAGAATAATGTTCTGATCTACTTTAAAAAGTTCTCCGCATGTTGTCCCGTACTTTTCGTATTTAAATGATCCATTTGAACCAGCATTACTACCTCGGTGTGTATGCCATGTCTTAATGTGATCTGCTAACTCTGATTCCGTTTTAAACGACCTACCGCAATATCGGCATTTGTAACGCAAATCATTCAACACGTTTATCAAATTCTCTTCGTTTTTAAATGTTTCACTTGAACCAGCACCGTTACTTCGGGGTGTATGTGCTTTATTAATGTGTTGTTGTAACGCTGATTGCGTATTAAACTTCTGGCCGCACAATTCGCATCTGTAAGAATCATCTCTCAAATTTCTAAACTCAAAAACGTGCATTTTCTTTATGAGATTGGATTCACAAGGTCAAACTTAAATCTGATATAAATTATTATTCTCTAATCGTTTAGAAACTTTTTCCCACGTCTAGATGGATCGTTTGCGAATTTGCGACTGAATTGTTGACCTCAACAATTGAACAATTGATATGTTGTTTTTCTATGAAAATTAGAATTGAATTGTTACTTGATTATTGTAGTTAAAGTATTTTTTATTTATCTTCTATATGATATTTTGTAAGTTTCGGTATTTTTTATATTTAGGGAAAAACCATGACACTTGAAATATTTTGTGTTGTAAAAGTTCAAGGGATAAACTTAGACATATGACTATAAATACATTTATTTTTACTTTTTCGGCTGTTATTCGTGTCTGAAGAAAATATTCTAATATTCACCTACAATATTTCGATGTATTTTCGTAGACTAAAGTGTCACAATACTGACGACACAAAAAACTTACGTCTAAATGTTTAATTTATAGAAAATGGGGTACATTGTAGTCAGACAGCTGTTATTATGTTTTTTTATACAAATCGCATACGATCGCGTTTAGACGAAAAATTTGGGCATTGATTTAAAATATTTTGGTGTATTTTAATGCAGTATAGTGTCGAGTAACTACTTATAAAAAATCTAATGTACTACAATGTAATTTTTCGAAATACGTCAGAATATACTGTCTTAAATATAACAGTGGGAAAATGTGGCGATTGGTCAAGGTATAATGCCAAAGATAATTACATTTTTTTGAATCAATGCACCTTGAAACGCTGAGAAATAGAAACAAATTCATGCGTTTGTACGACCGAATTTTGTTCACTCTCTTCGAATCTTAATAACTGCTGTCATTTTCGTTCAAAATATCTGAATTCTGCAAGAATACTTGTGTGTTAGAGTGATTGTTGCTGTTAAATTTTGGTGGTTAAAAGTTCAGGGCCCTTAGTCTCCAGTTTTTCGTGTTACAACTCCCAACGTGTTGAAGGTGTCACGTGGTACCATCTCACACTCTGACGTCAAATCGGTAGTCTCCATTTATAACTCACATGCTTTCCCATCTCACCATGCGAGTTGCTACTCATGTGAGGTCAGCCGATTTGGGGTGAGGTGTTCGACAGCCGAGCGGTTCGTTCTGTCGTGTGGGCGCAGACTGACTGCCTGAGACAGGTTTACCATGTAACCGTTTATTAAACATAGAAATTTTCCTTAAAAATTATTTGTTAGACGAGGTAGCACCCCAAAGCGCACGGATAAAGTTCGAAATAAAGTTCGTAAAAGTCGGTTTTCGTCACTAGTGGATGGACGCTGTCGGTGAAACACTCGGTGGGCCCCGGGGCGTTGATTACGGCTTTCGGCGGCTTCTCGCGGACGATCCGACGAATCTGTCGATTGCTAGGAGCACCCAGAGAACGATGCTTCCNTTTCTATATAGGTAAATCCACGATCGATACACAGACTTTTTGCCTAACACGCGAAATTATGACTGATTGAGCAACGAATTACATTAATTAGACAAATGTAAAAAAATCATTAAAAATGTTATAAATAAATTTTAAAAAATTATTATTTGGCGTTTAGTAGTAACAATTTTACTAATTTCAGTTTGATGATTTCGCTTCCTGTCTAGAAAATGCTACAAAATAGTACACAATGACTTGCCTCATTCATAATTTGTTACCAATGACATTACTTATTTACTTCTGTAATGTAAACAGTTTTCTGAACTGATTTGTAACGTATTCGTTACATTATTCTGTACACAGACCATCTTTTTACGATATATTACTCTATTAAAAATTTGTATTATATATTTTTATTCATTAATGTATTAAACCGTATACAAAAGAAAACCTACAATGTCAATGGACCTTAAATCACAGTAATATTACTGAAATCAGAATAATAATTTTTTAATTTCAGAAATTTGTTGTTTTTATCACGCTGAGTGTAGTGGTTTTCGTAAAAGTTATTCTTTTATTCTGGTACGTCATTCGCGAATTCGAAAACTTAATCTACAGTCAAGAAATCTATGTGCTGATCACGAAATTTTTGCATGAACAATTGTAAGCACCATTATATTGTTCAAATTCATATTTAGCTGCGATGAAGTTAGAAAAGTTTAATTTAACGAATTTAATATTTTATGCCTTATATAATCATTGTATAATTTGATAGAATAGTATATTATTTATATCACATATAAAAATACATAATAATAAGTCTGTCATGTTAAATTTTCCGAAATTCCTGAAAATGTATCTTATTCTTAATGAAAAAAAATTGCTCTAATGATGTGTCTGATGTTATTAAATAAGAAAAGTATTTTCATCAAACATTTAACAATAGAAGCTTAATTACTTTAAGCAATTTATTAAATTAAATATGTAAAATGATCAAAGTATATAATAAATACATCCGTAACAGACATTTGAAAATAATAAACTACAGCCAAATTTCTGAAAAGTTTCAAAGACAGCAAAACTAAAAACGATATAAGTACAGGTAATTTACGGAAAACAAGAGATAATCGCTTACTACAGCGGGATAAACAACTTTGATCATATGACTACTTTTTACAACTATACTGTATTAGAAACATCCGCAGATTGCCTTCAGTAATTTTTTTATTCTTTGTTAAATATTGCATGTGTAAAATCTATTATTATATATAGGCTAAGTCGCAGATCTAAACGCAAACATATTTTCTGTACAGGTGTGCATGACCAAAATTTCCGACCAAATCGAAAGACGAAAATCTATCTTTATGCTTCCTAAAGATGTCAGAACTGAAGTATCAGTAGACTTTTATAAAAAGTATTTAATAGAGGAAAAGGTGGTATTATGAAACCCTGCAGGTATTATGGAACCCCTCTATTTCGAACTGATAATAAAGGTGAACTGTAGCAGAATGTGGCTGATTGCACTCGGCAGACATCCATAGCAATGGGAAAACCCGTTTCACTTCAGGTAAACAATTGTCTGTAGTGAATTAGCATATGTGAGAAGCCAAGGGCATAAGATTTGCTTATGTCATTTACTGACACAAAATCGTCAGATTGGCTCACTTATTCTTTTAGGAGGGCTTTAAATAAAAAGGATATTGACTGCGAAGTCTCTATCCAACGTCAGGATCCTACACACCAGTTAATCGGATTTATTACACGCGAATTAACACGCGTTCATGAATCAATACGGAGAAGGTGAAATCTTTTGATTCAGACATAATGAGACATTTCTTTAACATAAAAATATCAAATATTTTATAAAACAAAGAAAAAATATACAAGTTCGACCTTCAGATATAATTATGATATCGCAGAGAGAGAGATCACATTTCAGTTAAAATTATACTACTTCATTATATATTTTTTTCTATATTTAGATCGATTTCAATGTTCGTTATTTCACTATTTCTTCTCTTGTTTCAGTTCTTGTCACTTATTACTTCTTGGGCGGCACTTCAAAAACATTTTCATTAACTTGGGAACTTATAAACTTTGTATGAACTTCGGGAGTCTGCTATGGGCGTTGGACGTGGGGAGATGATATGGAATACGTCCTTCTTCTATGGAATATCGTGGCGTACTCCCCAAATAATACTAAAGAATCCTTTTTTTTTTATGTTTGTCACCAATGGCAAAGTTGTATTTTTCCCACGTGATTAGAGTGGGGATTTACTAATTTTTGAACATAAGGGAAAACAAAAATGATGTAGAACTTTTGTTGAGAAGGAAGGCGATTTTACCAGCTACCTTCGTTTTTAACTTAAATTTTTTTCATTTAAATCAGTAATATTATTTCAAACATTTAATGCTGCACGATTAACGTTTAATGGGATTTTTTTTATCGAATTTCATTCATCGTTCTAAAGTTCTAGTGCACGGGTTTTAGTTCTGTAAAGTTATTTAAAGCTAGTTTCTGATGTCAAAAACGACGTTTAATAGTTTTTTAAGTTTTTTAATTAATAAATTTTATTATATATACGTTTAAGTTCGGGGGGGGCGGAAATCGCAATAAAAAACGTAATTTTTTAAAAATATTTAAAAATATGCAGCCAGCTAGTATTCACCCTATTATAAACCCTTCGCCTCCTGTAGGTTTTATGAGAATGTCCCGGGAAATCCAACACCAGCTTTTCTCAAGGTCATCCAGCTGTAAACACAATTACTCATCAGTGTCGGATTTCGCTGAAAGGCGAGACAATGGAAGTTAAACTTTGAAAATTTCTCTTCAAAGTTAAGGCATTTTCTTTGTTTTTTTTCAGTTTTAAGTATTTTTTATGTATAATTATATTAATATTAAAAATTAAAAAAGTTCCAAGGAGTTAGTTCGTTTTGGAGACTCCAAAAATTACAAAAATATATACTTTCTTATTACGTTTATTTAAATGTAATGATAAAAATACATATATACACAGCCCTGCGTTTTTATTAGTCACGTTTCTTCCGTTTGTAGCGGTTAAAAAATCTATGTAATGTTGATTGTTTTTATTTTTATTCAGGATTATACAGAAGTAATTAATAACATTGTAATTGTAGAGATCTCTATAATTATTAATCTCAACCTGGTTTGGATTCCGTTCTAAGACCGTTGTTCTGACATCCTCCCACTTATTGAAAAGATCATTAGTTGCAAATATCGGCATTAATCCTTTTTTTCAGAAGAAAACATATCTCTCCAGTTTCTTAGTATTTTTCATTCAAGAGTTCTTGTCGTTCTTCTGTCTTCAAATTCGTTTTAAGTTCCATTGTGTGCTATTTAATGTTCTTTATTTGTGAGATGTAATTTTTGTTACTCCTTTAGCTGCTTAAGACTTCTTGATTATACAGTATCTTTTTTAGAAAAGATTGAATTGCGACTTATTGTAAAACTGTTCAAATCATACATCGACATTAGATATCTGCCCACTCTCTATCTTTGCTATTATACTTTCACCTTTAGGAAATTTATCGAATGCAAAATTTAACTATTGTCCGCCTAACAGTTTCGCAAATACTATAAAGAAATTGTTTCTGTCAGAAAAATAAATGGCTAAAATTACAAGGGAGCGTTTCAAAGTTTAAAAAAATACTATCCGATCAGTATATACCGGCTTGAGTGTCGATGTCGACGTCTCCCGCAAACCGAAAAGTTTCGAATTGTCCTGAAGACAAGGAAGACCAACCAGTATTTATTAGTTTACGTCGCTTCATTTTGTGTTTGTTCTGTGAGGTGTTCGTTGACCGACCATAAAAATCTTTCGCGAAAGTGTTCGTTATCCGATTTGTTCGTTTACCGAACTGTTCATTAATAGATCACCTACTGTATTCTGAATCGATTCGTTATTATTTTCATTTGCATAATTATAAATTTTAGTTAAAAATCGAGGATTTTTAATACAGTTTTGGCGCATAGTAGCCAAATCTTGCAATGCTGGAAAGAATACTAAATAATGCTGGAGTTGTGACTCAAAAGATTATAGACTCAAATTTGAGAAAAGGAGAGAAAGGCCAAAAGATGAAAAGTAGTGACGAAGGTTGGAAAATTAAGGGTCAATACTTGCATAACGGAAGGTCTATTTAACCTTTCTCACTACTTTTTATCTTTTGGCCTATTTCTCCTTTTCTCAAATTTGTGTCTATAATTCTTTGAGTCACAACTTCAGCTTTATTTAGTACTTGCAGACCCCGCGCACGCCTTGTTGTGGCTCAAATGTATCTATTATAAATGTATAACTCTTCCCCCGTGAGGAAAAATTTTTCGAAAAATTTCTTTTTAGTGTACATTCTGTTGACGTACCCTATCAAAACGCAATCAAAAACGCAAAAACCCGCATCTAAAATAGTATAATAGAAGCCAAGTTCTTCACAGTAAGCCTTAATCCTGTCACTCTCCCCCGCGGGGGAATATCGAAAAATCTGTTCTTAGTGTACATTCTGTTGACGTACTCTGTTAAAACGCAATAAAAAACGCAAAAAACCGCATCTAAAATAGTATAAATAAAAGCAGAGTTCTTTACGATAAGACTTCTCCGTAAGGCTTACCGTAAAGAACTGTCCATTTCCCATGTTTAACGGAATAATATACAGCCTATGTCCACCCTGAAGTTTCATTCTAAATATTGGTGAAAAAATTTTTGAAATCGGATGAGTAGTTTCGGAGATTACCTGCTGCATACAAACTAACATACATACAAACATTACCTCTTTATAATATTAGTATAGATTCCTTTGTCATCCACACATCTCCAAGTAATTGAAAATATTTGCTTTTCACTCGAAAATAAAATATGTATGAAAGTTTACGGCTTTGTGAAATTTTTTGAGTTTATGCCGTTGAAATAAATAAATAATAAAAACATTAAACATTTTGTCGGTTTATTAGGCCGCATTGGAACTTGACTTGGGCCGCGGGATGGATACCTCTGCTGTATACGAAGTCTTTCTGCCATTTCGCTACAAAGAGAGCCACTTTTAGCAAGCCCGTTAGTAGTTCTGCAAGTTCCACAATGGTTCGACTGGGAGGTTAGAGACGCGGCCCGACATATCAGAACTGACTACCATCTAAAAAATGTTGAGGCTTTCTGACCTATTTGGATTCCCCAGAGCCGTATGATGCACTTATATCAGATGAAGTCAGAAGGAATGTAAGTAATTGCGATTTATTGTTAATTTACGAATGTATATAGCATTTCATAATGTCTCGATTTATCTACAGTTTAATTTTTCAATTTAAGATCTTTTTTTACCTTATTCAACTCAATATAATTAAAATTCACATATCTTATTTTACGTTTTACTTTTTGAAAATATCGTTTAAATTACAGTTGTATTTTCATTCTAATATGAATACTTTGCACGAATTCGTCAGTCCTGATTGTCTGCCCTTGGAATATGGAGGTACCTTGCCAGGATGCGATCCTACTGAAGCTAATAATATGATTAAAGCTAATGAAGAATTCTATCGAAGAAACGAAAAATACGTAAAATTGTACGAAGAAGAAATAAAGAAAAGTTCTAAAGATATCAAATTTAGAAACATCAATGTAGATTCAGAAGAAGAAAAATTGAAAAAATTTATAGAAAAATCAGAAGTAAAATTTAAACTTTATTCTAACAATCCAGAAGCTTTCATGAATGCTATAAAGGAAGATCCCGAATGTGAAATAACCCTTTATTAAATTGTTCAGATGACTTGTTATCAGTTTTGAATAATATAAACAAAAATTGTAAAAAAATTAACTATGTATTTCATTTTCTCGTAAAATATAACATTTAAAAGCTTTTGTAGTTAAAATAAAACAATTTAATAAATTGTAATTATAGATTTACTATAGCTAATTATGTACTGTATATTCAAATATTCTAGCAGCATAGAACAATGATAAGGAAAATCTGTTTCTCTAAATATTACCGAAATTGCAGATCGATTTACTTGTATGAAATGTAATATCTTATTAAGTAAATTTGCTGAAATGTTTAATTGTTGTCCACATAGTTTTATGTACTTATTAACATTCAAGCTTTTCAAACTTTTATATGAATGATGTGTTGTATAATTCAAAGTAATGACATTCTCCACTCGAAAGGCTGCAGAATCCATATAAATCAATGAGATGGATAGATAGATAGATAGATAGATAGATTACAAAGTGTCGTTATCCACTGATAAGGCCGAAAATAAACGGCTAAATTCATTTGAGTGATAAAAAGTAAAATAAGCATTTATTGGTAAACTGTTTTAGGTCATAATTCGTTCCTGAAAATAGGTGCCGATTGCGTATTTTAACTCTGAAACTATATTACATATTTTCACTTATATAAAATTTTTAAAATTATACTTACATTTTTAATTCAATTTTAACTGAATACAACTCCTATTGAATTTTAATTATATATTTTAAATTATTCATTTTAATTCTTCTTCAATTATAGGTTACTTTTATAAAATATTCTTTTAATTGTTTGCTGTTTACAATAGAATTTTTATTACAGAAATATAAAAAATTATAAAAAAAATAATTTGCATTAAGATTGAAACTATTTTATTAAATTTCATTAATAAACATATAGAATTTTGAATTTAGAAAAAGTTTCTATCACATTTAAAATCAACTAAATTTATGCAACAAAGATAATTATATCGTATGCTTTTCGCTTTGTAAATTTTGCGAGAAAAAGCCAAATTTTATGATCATAATTAATTTTGAAAATTTTCCAATCTCAATATCAAATCTTTAATTTTTCAATTGAAAATTGTTTTTCTGCACTTGCAGGAGAACATTTCTGATGACGTGCTGGATCTTGCTTTTTATCTGATTCGTTGTTTTGTTTGTTTTCAGGACCTTGATCTTTTATATCTTTTTCATATTTACTTTTTCTCAAAATTTTGAAGCATTCTTTATCAGTTTTAGTTTCTGACTTTAATTCTTCAGATTTTTCGAAATATGTTCGTAATTTTTCAAATATTAAAAACATTTCCTATAGAAACAAATTGTATACACAAATTAAATATATTTTACAGTGACAGATAGTATTTGACAGTAAACGCGAAAATTCTATGAAAGTGGATTGATGTAAAAAGGTAATGCAACATATGGATGATATAAAATTCGGTGCATTTAAGGAGAAAATGTTAAATGTTAGACACAGAAGAAAACCCAGAAAATTGAGACTATGGTTTGAGAACCTTTTAATATTCAGAGAAATCGATAGTGATTATATAAAGAAACGCAACACTCAGTAATAAATAAAAATATGAATATAGTTTTTCAGTGTTGAAGGAAGAATAAAATAAATATTTTAATACGTACGCAGGAAGTGGAGTCAGAAAGAGGAATGTTCTGATCTGCGTTAAAAGGTTCTCCGCATGTTGTCCAGTGCTTATTGTATTTAAATGATCCATCTGAACCAGCACCATTAGTTATGGGTGTATGCCATTCCTTAATGTGATCTGCTAAATCTGATTCCGTTTTAAACTCCATTCCGCAATATCGGCATTTGTAAACCACATCATCGAACACGTCCATCAAATACACTTCGTACTTAGATGTTTCACCTGAACCAGCACCGTTACTCTGGCGTTTATGTTCTTTATTAATGTGTTGTTGTAACTCTGATTCAGTATTAAACGTCTTGCCGCACCATTCGCATCTGTAAGGCACATTCCTCAAATTTCTAAACTCCAAAACATGCATTTTCTTTTTGAGATTGGATTCACAAGGTCAAACTTAAATCTGATATAAATTATTATCTTCTAATCGTTTAGAAACTCTTTCCCACGTCTAGATGGATCGTTTGCGAATTTGCGACTGAATTGTTGACCTCAACAATTGAACAATTGATATATTGTTTTTCGATGAAAATTAGAATTGAATTGTTACCAGATTATTGTATTTAAAGTATTTTTTATTTATCTTCTATATGATATTTTGTAAGTTTCATTATTTTTTATATTTAGGAAAAAACCACGACACTTGAAATATTTAGTGTTGTAAAAAATGAGTACTTAGACGATGAGTATAAATTAATTTACTTTCACTTTTTCGGCTGTTATATATAACAGTGGAAAAATGTTGCAATTGGTTAAAGAATAATCCATGAGATCATTATATATATATATTTTTTGAATCAATGCACCTTGAAACGCGGAGAAATAGAAACAAATTATTGCGTTTGTTTGATACAATTTTGTTCACTCTCTTCGAATCTTAATAACTTCTGTCATTTTCGTTTAAAATATCTGAAATTTTGCAGGAATATTTGTGTATTAGAATGATTGTTGCAGTTAAATATAATGGCTGAAAGTCTTGGGTGTGGGGAGGTCGTGTGTATCTGCAGTTGGGTCAGACTTAATGTCTATTTTACTTGTTACTAGCATTTACGATTTTGTATAAAACCTATCCTATCTTCAAAGTTAAGCTTTTATCATTTTAAAATAGTTAAAAATATAAGATTTTTAAAATAAAATATTAACATAAGACGTCACCAACCGTTACCGGGAAAGCTGCTGGATTTTTAAACTGCTTGACAACATAATATGTCTTTCAAAACTAGAAAAATTAAAATTGTTAATTGTGATTCATTTTATAAAACCATACGCTTTGGTCTATTGTGTGCAGCTTCGGAAGGAAAAAAAATTGTAATTTTCATAACATAAACCGTTCTGTAGTATATTTTACATTGTTTAAATGTAATTTGTCTGAATTGCTTGTATTTCACAAGTAACAATTTCAGAATTGACCTGCTTCGTCACTTTCTACCACAGCACATAAAGTGTACGCCCATTTGAAGCAGTTTTGCACAAACGATATAACCTTCAATAGATCTTGCTCCGAATACAGACAGAAATAGAAAGAGCACAATATCTCGCTGGGAAGACTGGAAAAGTCTTTTTCAGACCGTGGTGAAAAATCACAGTAATCTTGACAGTACAGACATGAGATATGGGGCGTCATATAAATTCTTGTTGGTCTTACTTACTTACCGAAATGAGTTTTGTTCTGCTGTGCATTCCATCACAGTNTATGAATATAGTTTTTCAGTGTTGAAGGAAGAATAAAATAAATATTTTAATACGTACGCAGGAAGTGGAGTCAGAAAGAGGAATGTTCTGATCTGCGTTAAAAGGTTCTCCGCATGTTGTCCAGTGCTTATTGTATTTAAATGATCCATCTGAACCAGCACCATTAGTTATGGGTGTATGCCATTCCTTAATGTGATCTGCTAAATCTGATTCCGTTTTAAACTCCATTCCGCAATATCGGCATTTGTAAACCACATCATCGAACACGTCCATCAAATACACTTCGTACTTAGATGTTTCACCTGAACCAGCACCGTTACTCTGGCGTTTATGTTCTTTATTAATGTGTTGTTGTAACTCTGATTCAGTATTAAACGTCTTGCCGCACCATTCGCATCTGTAAGGCACATTCCTCAAATTTCTAAACTCCAAAACGTGCATTTTCTTTTTGAGATTGGATTCACAAGATCAAACTTAAATCTGATATAAATTATTATCTTCTAATCGTTTAGAAACTCTTTCCCACGTCTAGATGGATCGTTTGCGAATTTGCGACTGAATTGTTGACCTCAACAATTGAACAATTGATATATTGTTTTTCTATAAAAATTAGAATTGAATTGTTACCAGATTATTGTATTTAAAGTATTTTTTATTTATCTTCTATATGATATTTTGTAAGTTTCGTTATTTTTTATATTTAGGAAAAAACCACGACACTTGAAATATTTAGTGTTGTAAAAAATGAGTACTTAGACAATGAGTATAAATTAATTTACTTTCACTTTTTCGGCTGTTATATATAACAGTGGAAAAATGTTGCAATTGGTTAAAGAATAATCCATGAGATCATTATATATATATATTTTTTGAATCAATGCACCTTGAAACGCGGAGAAATAGAAACAAATTATTGCGTTTGTTTGATACAATTTTGTTCACTCTCTTCGAATCTTAATAACTTCTGTCATTTTCGTTTAAAATATCTGAAATTTTGCAGGAATATTTGTGTATTAGAATGATTGTTGCAGTTAAATATAATGGCTGAAAGTCTTGGGTGTGGGGAGGTCGTGTGTATCTGCAGTTGGGTCAGACTTAATGTCTATTTTACTTGTTACTAGCATTTACGATTTTGTATAAAACCTATCCTATCTTCAAAGTTAAGCTTTTATCATTTTAAAATAGTTAAAAATCCAGGGAGTGGGGAGATAACGAAGGTCGTGTGTATCTGCAGTTGGGTCAGACATAATGTCTATTTTACTTGTTACTAGCATTTACGATTTTTTTTATTTCTATCTTCAGAATTAAACTTTTATCATTTTTAAATACTGTAGTTAAAAATATAACGTTTTNAATTGTAATTTTCATAACATAAACCGTTCTGTAGTATATTTTACATTGTTTAAATGTAATTTGTCTGAATTGCTTGTATTTCACAAGTAACAATTTCAGAATTGACCTGCTTCGTCACTTTCTACCACAGCACATAAAGTGTACGCCCATTTGAAGCAGTTTTGCACAAACGATATAACCTTCAATAGATCTTGCTCCGAATACAGACAGAAATAGAAAGAGCACAATATCTCGCTGGGAAGACTGGAAAAGTCTTTTTCAGACCGTGGTGAAAAATCACAGTAATCTTGACAGTACAGACATGAGATATGGGGCGTCATATAAATTCTTGTTGGTCTTACTTACTTACCGAAATGAGTTTTGTTCTGCTGTGCATTCCATCACAGTATATTCTAGTTTCTCTCTAACTCAAATTAAAGATTAAAGGTTTATAATATTTTTTATATGGCGAGCCATCTCTTCCAACTTTTCTTCTTAAAAATTTTTCTATCTGTTTTGTTTCATTACTCTTTTATTAGATAGATTTGTCTGTACACTAGTCGAACAGACAATTTTCAATATAGTGTGTGATCGGTTAACGAGCATAATCCGTTCCAAACTTTGTTCGCTATCCGAATTGTTCGTTAAACGATAATTTTTATATCATAGGTTTTTATGGAAATTTGATTATTTCGTTCTGGAGACCCCCCAAAATACAAAAATATATACTTTTTTATTACGTTTATTTAAATGTAATAATAAAAATACATATATACACAGTCTTGCATTTTTATTAGTCCGTTTTTTCCGTTTGTGAGGGTTAAAGAATTTGTGTAATGTTGATTGTTTTTATCTCTTATTCAGGATTATACTGAAGTTATTAATAACATTGTAATTGTAGAAATCCCTTATACCTCGTTCGCACCGAACATTTCGATCTAGATTGTGGCTAAGGTCGGAGACAGTTCCGTGGTGCTAACGCTCTCGACCGTTTCAATCTGGACTGAAACGAAGTTGAATCGTGATCGACTCGAGAGAGTTCTTGAAACTAGATCCAGTCATAAGAGAGATCTCAGAATCCCACGCGCGCGAGAAAATACAAGATGGCTGCGGAACACGTTTCGGGCTATCGACAGAGAAATAAAAAAGACATCTGTAGAGACGACGACATCTGTGTATTATTAGATGTATGGCAAGAAAAATTATTTATTTCTAACCAAAACTTCCATTTTGTTTGTTTGTGTTTGTGACTTACCGCGTAGTTATGTCAGTTCTATGGTCGCGCGTAATAGCCAGGTTCTTCTCGAGCGGACTGCTTGTGCGAACAGCACGACGTTTGACTAGCGACAGTCACAATCCAGATTGTAGGTAAATCGAGATCGAAGTGAGTCGTGGATTGTGTGCGAACGTAGTATAAGACTATTAACCTCAACCTGGTTTGGATTCCGTTCTAAGACCGTTGTTCTGACATCCTCCCACTTCTTGAAAAGAACTTTAGTTGCTAATATCGGCATTAATCCTCTTTTTCAGAAGAAAACATATCTCGCCAGTTTCTTAGTATTTTTCAGTCAAGAGTTTTTGTCGTTCTTCTGTCTTCAAATTTGTTTTAGGATGCATTATGAGCTATTCAATGTTCTTTATTTTTCAAATGTAAGTTTTATTACTTCTTTAGCTGCTGAAGTCTTCTTGAATATACAGTGTCTTTCTTAGAGAAGATTGAACTGCGACCTAGTGTAGACCTGTTAAAAGCATACTGCCCATCAACATCAGACATCTGCCACTCTCTGTCTATGCTATTATAATCTTACCTTTCGAAAAAAAAAACCGACGCAAAACTTAACGAGTGTCCGCCTGACAGTTTCGCGAATACTATAAAGCAGTGTTTTTCAACCTTCTTGAATACGCGACCTTTCTACAAGTTAAAAAATTCTGGCGACTTTCCTAGGCCGATATTAAAACTATATCAGTGATTTTAAAAACTACGTATTTAATTTTTTTTCTCTTGAGACAAAGTATTGTTGACTAAAATGAAAACTTTTTGAAAATCGACAATAACTTATAACACATAAAGTATGACAATTCCTCCTGAGCACAGGGAGCCGTTGATTTTTTTTTTAATTTTATTTTACGATCTGTATTTTTTGCTTCTACTTTTACGGCTATGATTTTCCGAGTTGGGCTTTACCCAGGCTCTTCCCTGGCTACACCCACTGTAAGGCCTAAATATCGATCAAAATACTAATTGTACTGTAAAATAAACAGGTACTGCAGGTTCTCGCTGAAATTGTAGTTTTTTAATGTAGTGTACGACCTACAAACACTTGTCTTTTTCTTTTATCTCGAATCCTTGTGTAAGACTTCGCGACCCGCTGGGGGTCGCGACCCACAGGTTGAAAAACACTGCTCTAAATAAATTGTTTGTGTCAAAAAAATAAAAGGCTAAAATTACAAGAGAGAGTTTCAAAGTTTGGAGAAATACTATCCGATCAGTATATACCAGGTTGAGTGTCAGTGTCGACGTCTCCCGCAAACCGAAAAGTTTCGAATTGTTGCGTGAAAATAGATAAGACTAACCAGTATTCCTTAGTTTACGTTGCTTTATCTTGTGTTTGTTCTGTGAGGTGTTCGTTGACCAAACATAAAAATCTTTCGCGAAAGTGTTCGTTTATTGAACTGTTTATTAACCGATCACCCACTGTATTCTGAATCGATTCGTTATTATTTTCATTTGCATAATTGTAAATTTTAGTTAAAGATCGAGGATTTTTAATACATATCATTACAGATCGAGGATTTTACGGTACTCTTAAAATCCAAAATTAATCTCAATTGTAAAAATTGTAAACATCTTAACTAGAAAAAACGAAGAAATTGAAATTTAATCAAAGATCACCGATTGTAACAACACGTCGATGGGAAAGTTGACACTTAGTTGTTAAAACCTGCAAGTCATCGTCAACAAGGAACAATCACGTGACACTTTCCCCACGACAATGGTGTAAATCAGTGTTTCTCAACGGGGGCGATATCGTCTCCATGTGGGCGTTTTTCCATGTTGAAAGGGCGATTAGTAACAATTTATATTTTTGGGGCGAAAAACAATTTTCTGGACGATATAGAAAAACATTATATTAAGATTAATTACTAGTTTTATTCGTTATATCGTACAATAATTAAACAAATAACATTATACTAGTCACTAGTTTATTCAATGCAGTACAAATTTGGCATTAGCCTTGGTCCTTGGCATCGGAATTTTGAAGTGACGGGGGCGATACTACGTAACGGTTTTATTGAAGGGGCGATACTACGTTGAATGAGGCGACGATTCGTTAGAGGTTGAGAAACACTTTATAAATGAATGAAACACCTGAAACTCAAGGCGAGCACTCGGAAGTTATAATTGGTAGATGTGCCATATATATCTCCACTGACTTTGGACAGACAGAAGTCCCTAGGAACTTCCACTTAGTACTTATAGAGCTCACTTTGAGGTAATTATTTTGAATCTGCGAACTCTCTCTCTCTACGCACATAGAACTAGTCGTTAGAGTTAACCTTTAGAGAAAGACACAATTTCATGGTGAACTCATAATATATTTTTCCAATTAGAAAGTTCAGACTATGAACGAGAATTTTTTTTTAATTTTGGAGTCTATCTAACATTCCATTAACACAACCACAGAAGTACCCGTAACATTGTTGAAAAAAACCTTCAATAAAAACAAACAATGAATAGGTAAAAAACTCACAATATTAAAAATGATGAAAACGTCAGCCTTTTATTTGAGGTTCTGACGTCTTTTACATTAAAAACAACAAGTCTTCTCACACTACCATCAAGTAGTTATCCACTTTTATCAGGTTCAAGCCTTCTGATAGTTGATACGAGTCATCCTTACATTTGCATATAGACACAATTTCATGGCGAACTCAGGATATACTCTTCCAATTGGAAATCAGTTTATCCTTTACAATACAGTTCATCCTTTCTCTAAAGAGAAAGGATGAACTGTATTGTAAAGGATAAACTTTATCAGTTTACAGTTTATCCAGTACAGGATAAACTGTAAACTGTGTATACATGTAAACTGTAAACTGTATAATCCTGTACACTGTACAATACAGTGTACAGGATTATACAGTTTATCCTTTCTCTTTAGAGAAAGGATAAACTGTATAATCGCCCCGTAAGCGTATTTATCTTATTCGCATTTATTCTTAGATGTATGCAACCTTTTAATATTTAATATTTACTTATTAGTTATATAATAAAAGCTTTGTTTATTTGTTAACACTGTCCTGTCATTGAAAGGCACTTGCCGACTTACCAACGACCTCCCCACTCACTTCTTAGCCGTCTTAGTCATCCGACAAACAGAGAACAAGTTTTACCGGCCATGGCAATGTAAATGGTCATTAGGGATCAGCCCTATGGTTCTCTGCTTATCTCACATTATCTTGAATAGAGACAAGCAATTATTATTTGTGATATCGTTACAATGCCGGGCTGCAATTATTTCTCATAATCTTAATGTATTCAATTTATATGTTCTTATCTCATATTTATAGTGTCTTCCTCTTACATAATAACAACTATCTTGCTTTACCTAATAACAACTATCATTTATTTTATAACGAAAGTTCCTATATATTTAATCGGAGCTTACTGTCATTACTTATTCCATTGCTTGACTTGTCATTCATCTCTCTAACGCCTGTCCTCAGAGTAACGAAGGACAGACAGTAGAACAAAGAAAAGTGGAAAATTATAGTTTACACCAGGGGTGTCCAGCCTTTTTGTTTCTGTGGGCCGCATTGGAAAAAGTCAAGGAGTTTTGGGCCAGAAGTATATGTAATATATACTTGAGGCCAAATACACAAGTATATTTAAGGACTATCGTGTGTAAATTATAATAATAAGTATTAAAACTTTATCACGAAAAAGGATATTTTAAAAAATTACTTCTACACACACTTTCAATTTTTACTTAGAAATAGATAAATTATAAATTCATTTATTTTCTTGTTTGTGTAAAAAAGACAAACGATAATTTATTTGAAAAACACAAATATTTGTTTTATTTAGGTCTGTATTTAATAAAAAACGACGAAGCACCATTTTAAAGTACATTTTTATTCAACTAATATATTTATAAATAATATGTAACCAAAAAAGTAGCCTAAACGCCAAATGATAATTTTTACGTCAAACAAAAAAACGTAGCCACATTAGGCGCAATGTAGGCAAATGTTGCAATGAGGGAAGGAATACTAAATAAACCTGGAGTTGTGACTCAAAGAATTATAGACCCAAATGCGGGAAAAAAGAGAAAGGACAAAAGATAAAGAAGTGAAAAATATAGGAAAATTAAGGGTCAATATTTTCACAACAGAAGATCTAATTAATTTCTCTCACTACTTTTTACCTTTTGTCTTTTCTCTCCTTTTTCTCCTTTCCCAAATTTTGGGTCTATAATCCTTTGAGTCACAACTCCAGCTTTATTTAGTAATCCTTCCTCATTCACACATCTCCAAGTATTTGAAAATATTTCCTATTCACTCAAAAATAAATATGAATGAAGGTTTACGAGTTTGTAAAACTTCTTTTTTGGGTTTATGCCGTTGAAATAAATAAATAATAAAAAATTAAAACATTTGTCGGTTTTGTTTACACGTTTATTGGGCCGCATTAGAACTTGCCTTGGGCCGCGGGATGGACACCCCTGCTGTATACGAACTCTTTCTGCCATTTGCTACAAAGAGAGCCACTGTTAGCAAGCCCGTTATTAGTTCTGCAAGTTCCACAATGGTTCGACCAGGATGTTAAAAACGCGGCCCGACATATAAGAACTGACTACCATCTGAAAAATACTGAGGCTTTTTGATTTACTCAGATTCCCTATAGCGTTATGATGCACTTATATCAGATGAAGTCAGAAGAAATGTAAGTAAATGCGATTTTCTTCTTAATCTACGAATGTATATAGCATTTCATGATGTCTCGATTTATCTACAGTTTAATTTTTCAATTTAAGATCTTTTCTACCTTATTCAACTCGATATAATTAAAATTCACATATCTTGTTTTACGTTTTACTTTCTGAAAGTATCGTTTAAATTACAGTTACATTTTCATCCTGATATGAAAACTGCACGAATTCATCAGTCCTGATTGTCTGCCCTTGAAATATGGAGGTACTGTACGTTGCCAGGATACGATCCTACTGAAGCTAATAATACGATAAAAGCTAAAGAACAATTGTATCGCAGAAACGAAGAATGCGTGAAATTGTACAAAAAAGCGATAAAGAAAAGAGCTAAGGATGTCAAATCTAGAAACATCGGTATAGATTCGAAAGAAGAAAAATTGAAAAAATTTATACAAAATTTAGAAGAAAAATTAAAACTTTATTCTAACAATACAGAAGCTTCAATGAATGCTATAAAGGAAGATTCCGAATGTGAAATAAACCGTTATTAAATTATTTAGATGACTTTAGCAATCAGTTTTGAATAATATAAACAAAAACTGTGGAAGAATTAATTACATACTTCATTTTCTCGTAAAAGATAAGAATTAAAAGCTTTTCTATTAAAAAAAACACAACTCAATAAATTGTTATTATAGATTTACTATGGCTAATTATGTATATTCAAATATACTAGCAACATAGAGCAATAATAACATAAATTTGTTTCTGTAAATATCACCGAAATTTTCAAATGGATTTACTTGTATGAAATTTAATATTTTATTGAGTAATTTTGCTAAAATGTTTAATTGTTGTCCACATAGTTTTAAGTACATATTAACATTTATACATTTCAAAATTTTAAAAACATATTTGTATATGGATGTTCTTTTGTATAATTCAATTAAATGATCTTTTCCACTGGAAAGGCTGCACAATTGCACAATTTATATAAACCATTCAGATAGATAGATAGAATACTAAGTGTTGTTATCTACAGATGAAGCTTAACCGAAGATAAAAGGGGATATGCATTTAGGTTAAAATAGTAAAATAAGCATTTCTTTGTACTATAATTGTTTCAACTCGTAAATCGTTCCTAGAAATAGGTGTCGATTGAGTATTTTGACTCTGACACTATTCTATATTATAACTTTTAAAAATTTTTATAACTATAATTACATTTTTAAATCCAATTTTAACGAAAAACCGAACCTATTGAATTATAATTATAAATTTTAAATTATTCATTTTAATTCTACTTCAATTATAGCTTAATTTTATAAAATATTTTTCTAATTGTTTCCTGTTTACAACAGAATTTTTACTACAGAAATGTAGAAAATTATAAAAAGAAATAATTTGCATTAAGATTGAAACGATTTTATTAGAGAAAATTTCATTAATAAACACGTACAATTTTGAATTTATAAAATGTTTCTACCACATTTAAAATAAATTAAATTTATGCTGCAGAGATAATTATATCGAATAGTTTTTGCTATGTAAATTTTGCGAAAAAAAGTCGAATTTAATGATTATAATTATATTTTAAAATTTTCCAATCTCAATCTCAATCTCAAATCTTCAATTTTCCAATTGAAGTTTTTTTTCTGCACTTGCAGGAGAAAATTCCTGATGACCTGCCGGATCTTGCTTTTGTTCTGCTTCATTGTTTTGTTTGTTTTTAGGGACTTGACCTTTTATATCTTCATAATCTTTACTTTCTTTAAAAATTTTGAAGCATTCTTTTTCAGTTTTAATTTTTGATTTTAATTCCTCGGAGTTTTCGAGATATGTTCGTAGTTTTTCAAATATTGAAAGCATTTCCTGTAAAAACAAATTTTATACATAAATTAAATATATTTTACAGTTACAGATAGTATTTGACAGTAAACACGAAAATTCTATAAAAGTAGATTGATGTAAAAAGGAAATGTATGGATGATCTACAATTCAGCGCATACAAATAGAAAAGATTAAGTGTTGAACACAGAAGAAAATTCTGAAAACTGACACTGTGATTCGAGAACCTTTTAATATTCAGAGAAATCGAGAGTGATTATATAAAGAAACGCAACACTTAGTAATAATTATAGATATCAATACAGTTTTTCAGTATTTAAAGAAGAATAAAATGATTATTTTAATACGTACGCGGAAAATGGAATCAGAGAGAATAATGCTCTGATGTACGATAAAAAATTTTTCGCATGTTGTCCCGTGCTTTTTGTATTTAAATGATCCACCTGAACCAGCACCATTAGTTATGGGTGTATGCCATTCCTTAATGTGATCTGCTAAATCTGATTCCGTTTTAAACACCATACCGCAATATCGGCATTTGTAAACCACATCATCGAACAAGTCCATCAAATACACTTCGTACTTAGATGTTTCATTTGAACCAGCACCGTTATTTCTGCGTGTATGTTCTTTATTAATGTGTTGTTGTAACGCTGATTGAGTATTAAACTTCAGGCCGCACAATTCGCATCTATAAGAATCANTTTTTTTCTGCACTTGCAGGAGAAAATTCCTGATGACCTGCCGGATCTTGCTTTTGTTCTGCTTCATTGTTTTGTTTGTTTTTAGGGACTTGACCTTTTATATCTTCATAATCTTTACTTTCTTTAAAAATTTTGAAGCATTCTTTTTCAGTTTTAATTTTTGATTTTAATTCCTCGGAGTTTTCGAGATATGTTCGTAGTTTTTCAAATATTGAAAGCATTTCCTGTAAAAACAAATTTTATACATAAATTAAATATATTTTACAGTTACAGATAGTATTTGACAGTAAACACGAAAATTCTATAAAAGTAGATTGATGTAAAAAGGAAATGTATGGATGATCTACAATTCAGCGCATACAAATAGAAAAGATTAAGTGTTGAACACAGAAGAAAATTCTGAAAACTGACACTGTGATTCGAGAACCTTTTAATATTCAGAGAAATCGAGAGTGATTATATAAAGAAACGCAACACTTAGTAATAATTATAGATATCAATATAGTTTTTCAGTATTTAAAGAAGAATAAAATGATTATTTTAATACGTACGCGGAAAATGGAATCAGACAGAATAATGCTCTGATGTACGATAAAAAATTTTTCGCATGTTGTCCCGTGCTTTTTGTATTTAAATGATCCACCTGAACCAGCACCATTAGTTATGGGTGTATGCCATTCCTTAATGTGATCTGCTAAATCTGATTCCGTTTTAAACACCATACCGCAATATCGGCATTTGTAAACCACATCATCGAACAAGTCCATCAAATACACTTCGTACTTAAATGTTTCATTTGAACCAGCACCGTTATTTCTGCGTGTATGTTCTTTATTAATGTGTTGTTGTAACGCTGATTGAGTATTAAACTTCAGGCCGCACAATTCGCATCTATAAGAATCATCCCTCAAATTTCTAAACTCAAAAACGTGCATTTTCTTTATGAGATTGGATTCACAACGTAAAACTTAACTCCGATATAAATTATTATTCTCTAATCGTTCAGAAACTTTTTCCCACGTCTAGATGGATCGTTTGCGAATTTGCGACTGAATTGTTGACCTCAACAATTGAACAATTGATATATTGTTTTTTGATGAAAATTTTAATTGAATTGTTACCAGATTATTGTATTTAAAGTAATTTCATATTTATCTTCTATATGATAGTTTGTAAGTTTCGGTAATTTTTTTATTCAGGGAAAAATCATGACACATGATTTAGTGTTGTAAAAGATCAAAAGAAAAACTTAGGCATACGAGTATATATTAATTTATATTTACTTTTCTGACTGTTATATATAACAGTGAGAAAATATGGCGATCGTTCAAACACTAATTTTTAAGATCATTATATTATTTTGAGTTAATGCACCTTGAGACGCCGAGAAATAGAAACAAATTCATGCGTTCGTGTGACACAATTTTGTTCACTCTCTTCGAATATTTATAACTTCTGTCCTTTTCGTGAAAAATATATAAACTTTTGCAGGAATATTTGTGTATTAGAATGATTGTTGTTGTTAAATTTTGGTGATTGAAAGTTTAGGGAGTGGGGTGGTAACGAAGGTCGTGTTTATCTGCAGTTGGGTCAGACTTAATGTCTATTTTACTTGTTACTACCATTTACGATTTTGTATAAAACCTATTCCAATCTTCAAAGTTAAGCGTTTATCATTTTAAAATAGTTAAAAATATAAGATTTTTAAAATAAAATATTAACATATGACGTCAACAACCGTTATCAAAAAGTTACTAAATTTTTAAACTACTTGACAACATAATATATCTTTCAAAACTAGAAAAATTAAAATCGTTAATTGTGATTCATTTTATATAACCATACGCTTTGGTCTATTGTGTGCAGCTTCGAAAAAAAAATTGTAATTTTCATAACATAAACCGTTCTGTAGTATATTTTACATTGTTTAAATGTAATTTGTCTGAATTGCTTGTATTTCACAAGTAACAATTGCAGAATAGACTTGCTTCGTCACTTTCTACCACAGCATATAAACTGTACGCCCATTTAAAGCAGTTTTGCCAAACGATCGACCCTTCAATAGATCCTGCTCCGAATACAGACAAAAATAGAAAGAGCACAATATCTCGTTGGGAAGATGGGAAAAGTCTTTTTCAGGCCGTGGTAAAAAATCACAGTAATCTTGACAATACAGACATGAGATATGGGGCGTCATATAAATTCTTGTTGGTCTTACTTACTTACCGAAATGAGTTTTGTTCTGCTTTGCATTCCATTACAGTATGTTCTGGTTTCTCTTTGGCTCAAATTAAAGATTAAAGGTTAATAATATTGTTTATATGGCGAGCCATCTCTTCCAACTTCTCCTTTTAAAAATTTTTCAATTTGTTTGTTTCATTACTCTTTTATCAGATACATTTGTCTGTACAATAGTGGAACAGACAATTTTCAATATAGTGTGTGATCGGTTAACGAGCATAATCCGTTCCAAACTTTGTTCGCTATCCGAATTGTTCGTTAAACGATAATTTTTATATTATAGGTTTTTATAAAAATTTGATTAATTGGTTCCGGACATTCCCAAAAATACAAAAATATATACTTACTTATTACGTTTATTTAAATGTAATAATAAAAATACATATATACACAGTCTAGCATTTTTATTAGTCACGTTTTTTTGTTTGTGGGGGTTAAAGAATCTGTGTAATGTTGATTGTTTTTATCTCTTATTCAGGATTATACTGAAGTTATTAATAACATTGTAATTGTAGAGATCCCTAAGACTATTAACTTCAACCTAGTTTGGATTCCGTTCTAATACCGTTGTTCTGACATCCTCCCACTTCTTGAAAAGAACTTTAGTTGCGAATATCGGCATTAATCCTTTTTTTCAGAAGAAAACATATCTCGCCAGTTTCTTAGTATTTTTCATTCAAGAGTTTTTGTCGTTCTTCTGTCTTCAAATTTGTTTTAGGATGCATTATGAGCTATTCAATGTTCTTTATTTTTCAAATGTAAATTTTATTACTTCTTTAGCTGCTGAAGGCTTCTTGAATATACAGTGTCTTTCTTAGAGAAGATTAAACTGCGACCTAGTGTAGACCTGTTAAAAGCATACTGCCCAGCAACATTAGACATCTGCCACTCTCTGTCTATGCTATTATAATCTTACCTTTCTAATCTTACCATTAGAACGAGCATTAGGAAGTTATACTTGGTAGATGTGCCATATTTATCTCCACTGACTTTGGACAGACAGAAGACCCTAGAAACTTCCACTTAGTACTTATATAGCTCACTTTGAAATAATTATTTTGAATCTGCGAACTTTCTCTCTCTACGCACATAGGACTAGTCGTTAGAGTTAACCTTTACAGAAAAGATAAACTGTATAATCGCCCCTAAACGTATTAGGTTATCTGCATATATTCTTGGATGTATCCAACCTATTGTAACCTTTTGTATTTACTAATTAGTTATATAATAAAAGCTTTGTTTATTAGTTAACCCTATCCTGTCATTGAAAGGCACTTGCCGACTTACCAAAGACCTCCCCACTCACTTCTTAGCCCTCCTAGCCATCCGACAAATCGAGAACAGGTTTTACCAGCCCGAGCAATGTAAGTGGTCATTAGGGATCAGCCCTGTGGCCCTCTGCTTATCTCACAATATCTTGTATAGAGATAAGCAATTATTATTTGTGATATCGTTACAATGCCGGGGTGCAATTATTTCTCATAATCTTAATGTATTCAATTTATGTTCTCATTTCATATTTGTAGTGTTTTCCTCTTACATATACGCTTTACCTGATAACAACTATAATTTATTTTTAAACAAAAGTTCCTATATATTTAATCGGAGCTTACTGTTATTACTTATTCGATTGATTGTCTTGTCAATCATCTCTCTAACGCCTGTCCTCAGTGTAACGAAGGATAGACAGTAAAACAGAAAAGAGTGGGAAATTATAGTCTACCCCAGGAGTGTCGAACATTTTTGTTTCTGCGGGCCGCATTGGAAAAAGTCAAGGAGTTTTGGGCCACAAGTATATATAATATATACTTGTGGCCAAATACACAAGTATATTTAAGGACTATAGTGTGTAAATTATAATAATAAGTATTAAAACTTTATCACGAAAAAGGATATTTTAAAAAATTACTTCTACACACACTTTCAATTTTAACTTAGAAATAGAGAAATTATAAATTCATTTATTTTCTTGTTTGTGTAAAAAAGACAAACGATAATTTATTTGAAAAACACAAATATTTGTTTTATTTAGGTCTGTATTTAATAAAAAACGACGAAGCACCATTTTAAAGTACATTTTTATTCAACTAATATATTTATAAATAATATGTAACCAAAAAAGTAGCCTAAACGCCAAATGATAATTTTTACGTCAAACAAAAAAACGTAGCCACATTAGGCGCAATGTAGGCAAATGTTGCAATGAGGGAAGGAATACTAAATAAACCTGGAGTTGTGACTCAAAGAATTATAGACCCAAATGCGGGAAAAAAGAAAAAGGACAAAAGATAAAGAAGTGAGAAAAGTAAAAAAATTAAGGGTCAATATTTTCACAACAGAAGATCTAATTAATTTTTCTCACTACTTTTTACCTTTTTTCTTTTCTTTCCTTTTTTTCCTTTCCTCGAATTTGGGTCTATAATCCTTTGAGTCACTACTCCAGCTATATATAGTAATCCTTCTTCATTCACACATCTACAAGTAGTTGAAAATATTTCATTTCCACTCAAAAATAAAATATGAATGTAGGTTTACGCGTTTGTGAAACGTTTTTTTTTTGGGTTTATGCCGTTGAAATAAATAAATAATAAAAAATTAAAACATTTGTCGGTTTTGTTTACACGTTTATTGGGCCGCATTGGAAGTTGCCTTGGGCCGCGGTTTGGAAACTCTTGGTCTACACTTTTTCCAACGGCCCAACAACTGTTGAGCATTTAAACACACAATGTTGATAATATGAGAATAAATCTTACATGTAATAAACACACGAAATTAGAATTAGTCAAGTATGGAATGCAACTGAAATAGAAAATGTGCTTTTTAATTATTATAAATAATAATAATAAACTGGACTGTTTATTTGAAATGAAACTCAATTAATAAATAAAGTAAAATACTCTACTTGGTTACGGTTTATAAAAAAGTTGTCTCGATCACAGTAACAGACCTGAAAGCATTACTTTTCAGAAAAATCTCAGGCAGTAAATATACTCGCATACACCGTTCGCAACATGTTTCGAACAGATGCGCCGCTTCCCTTGTATTTCCTAAAAACTGAATACATATTAATTTTAATTATATGAAAATAATCGCACAATATTTCATAATAACCGCATTACGTATCTTATTACAAATTTCTATACTACACGTGATAAAAAATAAGATCGCTATTGTATATTCGAATATTAGTGGCGGAGTAGAGGAGTGGAAATGATGTATTGTCAGCATCCAAAAAGCCAGATTCGCGGATGCGCTTTACAGAGCACTAACCTCACCCGGTTTAGCCGGTGGAAGCCTACAACCTTGGGTGGCTGCTACACGTATAACGCATCCAATTCTATCCTGTACCGGTTCCGGACTGTTAGCCGCCCACCCGCAAGATATTTGGCTGCCCTCGCCCGATTACGTGAATCGCGAGTAGATTTATAACCTAACCCAACCGATAAGAATTTACTTGTATGTTTTTATGATAGTTTTCTGTATAGTTGACAGGAGTTTTAAAAAATCCGTTAAAATATTTGATATATTTATTCCGCTCTCCGATTTTATATTACTCACGGATTTCAATGTTAAACCAGTAATATTACGATTTCGTATGCCCCATCTTTAAGGGGATGTAGAAAAAAAC